TATGGCCCTGAAACAGTGCTTCTCTTCATTATATCATAATGATTACATCTGCTATTTTGGCTGTATCAAATGGTTTGCAAAAGTGAAACTTATTTTGGGCTGATGCTCAGGACTCCTTACAGGATTTCTAATATGATCATTTCTAACTCAACCTCAACATTTTTACTCGTGGACTCTTCTACAGTAGTATGAGTCACAGTCACTGTTAGTTTGTTCACTGCCCAAAACATGACAGCCCCCCTCCCTCTGAACTAAATGTCTTCTGATTGGTTGTCCCTTAAAAAAAAAAGTTTTGAAAAGATTACAGGCGGGGCTTCTGTGCTGACAGCTAGAACTGAGTGCTTGGGACGAATAGACCACACCCATCAGGGTGGGTGTGGTCTATTCATCCACACAATTTGGGATTCATCCTCGAGGACAATATGCAGACTGAAAAATCCAGGGACTAATAGATGACACGGGAATATCTTTTATAACATCGTGCAGATCAAAGAGTAGAAAACTCATTTCAGTCTGAACCCTGAGCTTCTTAAAGGTATTACTGATGTTCACATAGATTGACCTCATTATTTGAAACTGGAACCAGTAGAACAGCATGTGACTGAAAGGGAAAGGCAGCCTAACACAGCTCTGTTGAAAGATCTGTTTCATATCTGCTGCCCTCAGCACTGCCATGCTGCCACGCTGCTGCTCCAGGCCTTTTCCACCTCACAACACCGAAACAAATTTCATTCGAGTCCCTTTAAATGTCTCAGTAAAGCATGGCAGTGAACCTGTGTGTACCACAGCCGGGCCTCCCATAGGTGCAACACAGTCAGCATTAAAGCATGTCTGTTTTTTTTCTGCTGTGTCAATTATTAAAATGAATTTTTAGGATGGACGGCTGCTCAGAGTGCATCAGAACTATCTCGGGTCACTTGCACAGAAAACATAACACATGAGGAGATGTTTTATGCCACTGTCAGTAAATCATCTGGGAACTAATCGTATATTAAAAACTGATGTATCTATATATTATCTAAAATATTTTTGCTGAACTTCCAGTCAATCACAAGTCTGATGACTGTGCTGCAGTGTGACTGTCACTGTTTCTTTTTTTATTTCATTTTCTGGCTTCTGCTGCCTGCACAGCAGGAGGGGTGGTGACAGTGGGGGGGTTGAAACTTTGTTCAAAGATGAACCAAAGGAAACAAGCCAAAACCAACACCAGCTGCCTACTGAGCAGGAATGTGTAACCTCTGCAATGCTGTGTGTGTGCACTCAAGATAATCTACACTTAATTACAGCTGAGGTGTTATTAATGAAGCTGTCTTTACATTAGGGCTGCCAGATTAGTCGACTAGTCACGATTACGTCGACTATCAAAATCGTCAACGACTAATTTAATAGTCGACGCATCGTTTGAAGCTTTGTAAGATCACAAAAGTCAGGTGGTCTTATCCATAAACCGTACTGTGGAT